GTATCTCACTGGAAAACATCTCTCTTCTCAAATGCCTCTCAGTTCCTCTTTACTCCTGGTATTTATTATTATTTAGCTCTTTACAGTGCTTTATATGTAGAATCTGGGTGAAAGCTGCAGGAGAGATCAGAGCTACATTGTCTTGTGATCACTTGACTTTTCCCCAAATTCTCTAAAGAAATTTTAACTAAGACATAGACTATTCCAGCTTTTTGTGATGGAAAGTTATGTTTAAGCAGCTCTGATTGTGGCCACTTCACCCCTATTTCACATCTAAGTCTCCATTTACCTCAAATATCATATCACTCACCTGCAGGATACCTGGTACTTTTCTTCACACTGCTGCCAGAAGAGTTGAATTTGACTTCACAGGTGAAATTCTTCCCACTGGTCCAGGTGTCCATGGGGACGCTGATGTGATTTATGAGTGTTAAAGATCCATCCTTTGCTTTCAATGAGCGCGTCAGCCCCTGTTCCTGCAGCTCCCCAGAAACACTCCAGGAAACATGGACTGGGCTGGACACTCCATGGATCACACAGGCCAGATTTGCTGTTCCAGTGACTTGAATTTCATGTGCAAATGGGACCAGAAGCATCACCCAGCTGCTGTTGGTATAACTGTCTGAGCAGAAGGAGGTGTGATACTTCAGTGTGATAATCAAATGAGCTGCAGTCTGATTAAAAGTGTTAGACTTTCACTCAGAGAGACAAGGTGGGTGAGGTAAAATCTTTTCTGGGACCAACTTCTGTTGGTGAAAGACACAAACTTTCAAGCTGCCACAGAGCTCTTCTTCAGGTCTGGGAAATGTATTCAGAGTGTCATTTCCCAGATCTGAGGAAGAGCTCTGTGTTAGCAAGAAAGCTTGTCTTTCTCACCCACAGAAGTTGGCCCAATAAAAGATATTACCTCACCCACCTCTTCTCTCTAATATTCTGGGACCATAACGGCTACAACAACACTGCATATCTGTCACTAAGACATTAATTCAAAGGAACAAATGTATTGATGAAGGAAATATTAAATTATCACACCAACACTAACTAGGACATAGCGCAATACGTAGCTGCACTACTTAGAAGGAAAATTGCGTACAATTTTATACATTTTGTAAACTTTTAATTAACTCAAAACATTATTTCATGCAAACCCAACTCTTAGGTTAGAAATATTCCCTACCTGGGTGCCTGGAACAGTCACAGAGAAATGTCAATAGTTTATTTTTGGCACTTTCAAGTTTTACACATATAATTTATAACAATAACTGTTATTATATAACTTCTGTACCCATAGCATTTAATGTTTAGCTGATCTGTTTGGCTTAAAGCATGCTTTCCTTTGAACCATTCATCAATAGCTGTGGTATCTTGTTATATTTTATTGGGAACTTGAAATATGTTTTGTCAATCAGTTACTAGTCTCCTTAAACAAGTTATATGGTTCCTTACCTCCAACAATCAGTGTGGATCCATTCCCGAAAAGCAGGTAGCTGCTGTCTATATATGCACAGTAGTAAATGCCAGAGTCAGTCTTTTGAATATTGCTGATTTCCAGGGTCGAGCTGTGTGTCTCGTGTTTGCAAGCAAATTTACTTACATTTTGATCATCCAAACAGCGCTTAATGCAGGTGGGTTTCTCGCCATCTCCTCTCAAATACCAAAACATTCTACTTCCTTCCAATTTCTCTTTGGAAGAACAGTGGATCTTTGCGGTGTCACTAACTTCAACAAACTGGATCCGCTGAGTCTGGTACAGAAATAACTGCACTCCTAGCACTGGAGAAATAAAATATCGTTATAGTCAGTTTCCATCAAGTCTCCAACTGCCACAGATGGACTGGATAGCTCAGCAATAGAAATTACTTAATCTGATATTTGTTCTCTGCATCCAAAATGCTAAAAAAGCTCTGTACAAGTGATCGGAAATGCAATTAATATCCAGCCAAAGTTTCCAAACATATCATAGATATTTAACACTGTTCTTCTGAAGAGGCTGTTTTCCCAATTCCAGAGTTTAATGCAGAAGTTTTACCTAAGGAAGATAAAACCAGATACTCGGCAAAGATCATGTTCATAAAAAAGTAGAACAAAATCCTGACACACTGGCCCAAGGGCTGATGCCTAGTGCACTGCTGCAGTGACTGGGTTCAGTGTCTCAGTCATTTCCAGTGAGGAACGCCTCACAGGAGGATGTGCTGTGGTGATAGACACTAAATGGGTGGGGTAAAGAATCTACAGGGGGTGCAGCATTTCTTGTAGAATTTCTCTGCATTCCAGTGGCACAGGGGTGTACTCTAATGATTTAGAAAAAATTTAAACATCCAGAGCACGGATGATGTATATAAACAAACCCACATCACTTTGGAGCACAAGTCCCATTAGAATCATAGACTATCAGGGTTGGAAGGAACCTCAGGAGGTCATCCAGTCCAACCTCCTGCTCAAAGCAGGACCAATTCCCAACTAAATCATCCCAGCCAGGGCTTTGTCAAGCCTGACCTTAAAAACCTCTAAGGAAGGAGATTCCACCACCTCCCTAGGGAACCCATTCCAGTGCTTCACCACCCTCCTACTGAAAAAGTTTTTCCTAATATCCAAACCAACCTAATATCCATATCCTAATATCTAAACCTCCCACACTGCAACTTGAGACCATTACTCCTTATTCTGTCAGCTGGTACCACTGCGAACAGTCTAGATCCATCCTCTTTAGAACCCCCTTTCAGGTAGTTGAAAGCAGCTACCAAATCCCCCCACCATTGACTTTCAAAGGAAAATGCTCCTAAATCACATAATTCTTTTGACAATCCCAAGCTAAATCTCTCCCCAGCCTTCCATGGCTGATCCATTGTTGTACCATATTTCTTGGTGCTACAAAATTTGCCCGTAACAATCATGTGGAGTCTCATCTTGGAGGACATTAATAGCACTTTAAATCATCAAACTGAAAGCTCTGACGTGTGAGAAATAAGACAATAAGGTATACAATTTTCAAAACAGTCCAAGTCCCATTTTAAAAACTGACTTAGGGCCAGATTTTGAAAAGTATTTCGGTGCCTATAAATGCAGAGAGGTGCCTGGTGAGATTTTCAAACATGGCTAAGAGGGTTAGGGGCCTCACTCTTACTGAAGTCAGTGGAAGTTAAGCGCCTCCCCTGTCTCTCTTTGGATCTATCAATAAACTGGCTAAAAATGAACAGAACGGGGCTGGTTAGAAAGCTGTGTCTGGCTGCACAAAGCAGGGAGAGAGAAGAAAAGTGCATCTGTCAGTGACCCTTCTGAAACAGCTGACAATAGAGGGCAATGTGGGCTAGAGATTACAGCAATTGGCTCAGAAAAGAACAGATTCCCTAGGTGACTTGGCCAGATCTCCTTAGCCTCAACCCCACTTGTGAGGCTGCACTGACTGGCTGCAGCTCCCCTGGCAAAGTGGGGATCGATTTGTCAGAAACCCCTTCCCGGCAGCTCTCTAATGCTTGGGACTATCTTCCTTCCTTCCTTCCCTTTCCCGACCCTCCCTCATGGGTGTGGAGCGACCTGGGCTAAATCCTGCAGTCCCACCCTGAAGAAATATTAAATGGAACCTGACGAAGGACGACTGGACTGGCCACGATTCTGCCTGATTTCTAGCCCAAGGGCATTACTCACAATGACACAGCTTCCCCTTTGCACCAATGTAAAGAGGAGTTTAGAGGACCATAAATTACACTCACACCCACTTCCAAGCCCCTGTGCATTACCATGGTGGATAGGGGCTTAGTGCAAATGAGAATCTGGTCCCCAGGCTCACTGTTAAGGGGCTGAATGTTATCAATGGTAATACAGATAAGACCACAGAAATCATAACGCTATTCGAGCACAATGTCTGCCCAGCCCAGTTCCCGTAAGGGCCTGTTATCACCCTCCCAGTAACACTGACTGACAATGGCGGAATAACATATTTACTGCTCTAAGGATCCCAGCGCAATGCGTTACACTGTGCAGTGCTTTCAGGAATTGAACGTAGGAGCTGATCCTAACAGCCGCTGAGCACCCACCACTCCTCTGCACTTAGCTGAGTGCTGCAGGTGCCCACACATCACAGCAAGTGTCTCAGCACCATGCAGAATTGGACCCTTGCAGTATATTCAGAAATCCCTTCATGCACTGTGGGGGTGGAGCGGGGCAGCTGTCTGACAGCCCCACAGCAGCACGGCGCAGTGCCTTAGGGCAGGAAGTGAAAAGGAGCCATGTAGCCAAGTGCACCTACAGGAGCAATTTTACACTCATGTAATTACAAGGCTGGTGCAGAACATTTCCCATCGCACAAAAATTTTCAAGATATCGAAAAATTTTCCCATCTCAAACTGGGGTGAAAAGTTAAAATCTCAAAAATTTTCCTAGCACCAAAAATCATTTTTGGATTGTGTGAAAGGAAGTGTTTTTGTTTGAATATTTTTGAAATGTTTCCTTTCAATTTTGACTATATAAAATTCTGACCATGTTAAATTTCAAATATAATTAGCTTACACGTCTCAGCAATGTGGCATTTTGAACTGAGGACAGGAATTTTTCAATTTTGAAACGTTTTATACATGTCACAAAAATTCATCAAAACTGACCCT